TCTCTCTCTCTCTCCCCCCTACCCTCCCTCCCTCCACCTGTATTTGTAAATGAAAAAAAAATTTAAAAAATTAAAAATATAGGAGAAATTCTTCACTTTTCTCTGTAATTCCTACTAGGTAATTAGTCCTTCAGTCCTGTAATTCTGTGTCTGAAATCTCCCTCAACTCCATACTTGCACATATACAGTACATCCTCTTGAGCTGGAGTTTATTCCTATAGTCTCGTGCTTCTTCAGACCGTTCTTTAATGGACTAAGCCTAATCTTTTTCTTCCTCATTATATTTTACATTGTGACTGAACTTCTGAATTTGTCCAATAAAATTATACATTTGACTGAGTTTTACATTCTGCCTATCCTTACTCTCATGTCTATGATGATTTCTCTGAGTTTCCTGTGTTTTCCACTTCATGCATATTTTTTCTCTCCTCTCTTTACATCACTTTATGGACTGATACTTAGAGCCCAGCTCAACACACTTCTACTCAAAGCTTTTTCTGTGACCTGGATTTGATGAAATGTTCCACCTATCCACTTTTTAGATCATTGATATCACTACACTGGAGGAAACAGAAAAAAAATGCATGGATCCTTGGGGTAGACCAAGGGTAGGAAGAGTCCTGTATCATTCTTTTCAGCCTGGCTGCTTGGCAAAAAGCCCTATATACACTAAGGCACTCATTAAGCATCTGGTAAATAAATAGATTGTCTATTAAAGAATTCAGCTGGTATTGAAGTTTATGTTCTCATCCTCTTCCTACTTAGTTCTTAGCTTATGTGCTCATGCAACCTATAACAAATACTAAAGACATGTCCAATGTTTCTTACTTTCATTTAACAATCACAGCCACATGTGGGAGTTAGGATTAACCTTATTACCCATTATACGTGAAGGTCATGAGTGATTTGCTCAAATGAGATTAGAAGGACCAGGGTTAGGAGCACGAGTTTGATTCAGTTAATGATGCAGTCCTGCTTAATCCTGAATGGCAATTTCTGGGAGTCCTCACCTGAACTGGGGGAGGATCATATTTCTTCAGGCTTCTTTGTAAATGGCTAATCCCATTTATGAGGACTTTATTGCCAGAACCAAATCACCTCTCTTAGCATTTCATCTCCAAATACTGTGACTCTGAGAATTAGGATTTCAGCATGGGAACTTGGGGCAACACAAACTTTTGAATAGACCATTGCAGTAAGTCTCCCACACAGATTGTCAAGGGCTGAGCTGGATTCAAAATGAAATTGTTAAATACATCTTTACGATAGGATGCTGGACTCTATGCCATTGATGATACATACAATGTGAGAATACATTTAAATAGAAGAATGAGGGACTTATGACTGTTTGTGAAGGACTATACTATTGTAATAATATAAGGGAAATTAGTGGGGTAAGGGACTTGGGGAAGAAGGGGCTTGCACAAATTCCAGAGCTTATGGAACTGTATTATAAAATAATATAAAAATAAATAAATTTAAAAGTAGAATAAGGAAGACTACACAAGAAAAGCTGATTTGGAGGGGGAAATGGTGAATAATTGAAGCAGTTGAAGCTTATATTTTGTAGGATATTTAAATGTTTAAGATCCAAAGCAATTAACAATTTTGTGTATTGTCAATGAACTATGCTATGCAATTGTCTCACACACACACACACACACACACACACACACACACACACACAAAAGCAACTGTCTGGCTCCAAGATGCTATGCAATACATAGTACACAGTGGGTTCTAGAATCCTGGTGTCTGCCTTCCAACTTGTCTCTAGGACTTGACTTTATGGAACGCTGGAAAGCACCTGAAGCTCTCAAGGTCTAAACTTTTCATCCATCAAGTGTGGATAGCAATACCTCTTAAATAATTGTGAAGAGGATAAAATAAAAATTATATGATTAAAGTATATTCTATACATCAGTACCAGCACCACCACCACTATTACATGCGCCCGTTAGTTTGTAATAAACAGCTGCTTCTGTGTTAAGAAATAAATGTATATTCAGACTACTACTCTTGAAAACCATAACATTCTTTAAATTTTAACACTTGGCCAAGAGCATTAGATCCATGACTCAGGGTCCATGCCAGGATGTATTGAAAATACAGGTTGGGTATTCCTATTTGATATGCTTGAGAATGACAGTGTTTCTGACTTTCTATATTTTCAAATTTTGGAACATTTGCAAATATGTAAGTATAGTAAGATACATTGGGGATAGGATCCAAGTCTAAATATATAATTCATTTGTTTCACATACATCTTAATAACACAGCATTAAGATAATTTTACTTAGTATTTTTAATACATCTGCATTTTGAACACAACTCGTCATGTGAGTTCAAGTGTGAAATTTTCCACTGTGGTGTCATCATTGAATATGTTTTAGATTTTGGATAATTTCTGATTTTTTATTTTTAGATCAGTGATGCTTAACCTTATAATTGAGCAGCTCCAAATGATATAGTGGCCAAAAACAGACAAAGAAAAAAATGTAGCTAATCTGTTGAAAGTGTTGCCGTAGGGATTGTGTTGTAAGTAGGGTTAGTGTTTTCATGGGGATTTAGTATTTAAACTAGGTATATTTGGATTTTATATCAAGGAACTGCTAAATATATGTTTTAATTAATTGGCTTGATAAAACTTCTGGTTATGTTAAAAGTGCATATCACATGCCAACGGATCTTTTTAATTTCTTATATAAGTCCATAACTGTGCTAAGCACTTTATTTAAAATTTATTTATATCCATTTCTTATTTGAAAGCTGGAGAAAGTGGAAAGAGATGGAGGGAGAGATCTTTCATTACCTGGTTCATTCCCAAAACGTTTGCAACAACCACCAAGAACCAGACTAAAGGCAGAAACCTGGGACTCAGCCTGGATCTCTCACATAGGTGATAGAAACCCACATGCATGAGCTGCCACCCTGGATGCACATTATCAGGAAGCTGGATTTGAAATAGAGTAGCCAGGACTCAAACCAGGTACTCTGACAAGAGATGTAGGTGTTCCAAGCAGTGACTTAACTGCTACCTTAAATGCCCACCTACTTCATCTTATTTAATGTTTACAATAATCATTATCTGTTGCACACTTTCCCACTGTTTCATTGAGGCATTAAAGGCCACAGATACTAAATGGGGTCAGGGTATTCAATAGGGAGGAAGAAATCTAGCATGGAACGCCAGTCATGCTATCTCTGGATTGCATTCTTTCTCTTAACTGTGTTGGTGTATTCTTTCTTCTACCCTGAACTGGGCTTACTTAATCATCCACTTTAATCACCTGCTTTTGGGAATGGGCCCAAGACTATCATTTTTCACGTACAAACCTTGTCACCTTGAGGCAGTTGTCCAAAGAAAAAGAGGGACCTGAGACTTCTCAGGTGGAGATATGCCCCTAAGAGTTGAAGTCCAATTGTGATAATTTCTTTCATGAGCAGCATATTCCAGGTTGAACTCAGTAGGTCTCAACAGTAGGTTTACTAGGGCAGTCGGTTTACTCCTTGCACACAGCTAGACCTATATGAGACGCAGATCAAACTGCTTGCATGGAGCCTCTTCATTATTCCTTAAGAAATAGGTGTGATTGATTAGGATTGATTTTATGCCTCTGTTCTAAGAAACAAGTAAGATTTAGACTTTTGCTTTTAACTGAATTGAGAAGTAGATTCTCTTAGACTAAGAATAGCTTCAAAAATTTTTACCGAAACTCATTCCTTTTAATTTACATGTGTGTGTTTCCAGCATTTTTAGCTTTAGTATTTTGAATATTTAATAATCTTTGCCTAAAGGGCTTTTCATAATGATTTGGCTTCTTAAAATATATTTACTTATTTTTATTGGAAAGGCAGATTTACAGAAAGAAAGAGAGATGGAGGGAGAGATCTTCTGTCTATTGGCTACTCCCCGAATGGCCACAATGTCAGAAACTGAGGTGATCCGAGGTCAGAGTTTCTTCCAGGTGTCTGAAGTGAGTGCAGAAGTCTAAAGATTTCAGCCATCATTCACTACTTCCACAGGAGCTTTAGCGAGGAGCTGGATGGGAAGTGGAGTAGCTGGGACATGAACAGCACCCATATGGGATGCCAATACTGATAGGTGGATGGTTAGCCTTTAGTACCACTGCACCAGCCCCAATGATTGATCTTTAACTTATAAATAAAAAGGCACAATTTATTCTTAAGAAGTTAATTAAATATCCTGGTACTAATTGCTTAGAGGGAGCATTACCAGCCATTATGGTTTTTTTTCCAAGAAAAAAAAACTTGCAGCACAAGATTTGTGAAAGGATTTTTTTCTTTAATACTTCTTAGTTCTGGAAGTATTCTGGAAGATCATTTTTTAAGTTAATAGGGCAAGGTAAGATATTTTATATTTTCCAGAAAATGTAGCGACAACATGTATTGATCAATGAGAATTTATGACTAAGTTTCTTATGTGACAGCTGTGCCTGTGGATAGGGGAAAAGGGGGGTTAATTTTCATCCTTACAAACAGATGAATTTTTGTCATGGCAAAGTTCACAGGTAGCTAATCTTTCTAGGAGAACAGTCAGAATAATCAGAGGCATTATGAAGTCTTTAAAGACACACAATTTGAATCAGGAGTTGCTAGGGATAGACAGCTAGGGATGTTTGGTACCTGGGTACTGATTTTGAGACTGGACACACTATTGCTTATGATTCTTCCTTTTTTTCCTGTTCTCCTCCTCTTTTCTCTATTGCTTATTATGTACTTTCCCTTCATAATCCTGCTAAGTGAACCATCAAGATGTTCACTATGTTCACTATGTTATCTCATTTGATTTTCACCCAAACCTAGCATAGCTGTATGATTGAACAAGGAAATCGAAGTTCATAAAGGTAAAGGGGTGTTTCCCAGTCTAGCAGAGGGATGAGGAAGAGCCACAACACAGCCTTAGTCTCTGTGGTTGACCTCTCAACCACCATGTCATGCTGCTTCCTGGGTAATGTTTTTCTGTTCTCTGTTCCCAGGGATAGGATGAGAACATCAGTGAATGTTGTGGGTGATTCTTTTGGGGCTGGGATTGTCTACCATCTCTCCAAGTCTGAGTTGGATTCCATCGACTCTCAACACCAAGTGCATGAAGATATTGAAATGACCAAGACTCAGTCCATGTATGACGATATGAAGAACCACAGAGAAAGCAACTCTAATCAGTGTGTTTATGCTGCACACAACTCAGTCATAGTAGATGAGTGCAAGGTACCTTTCCCCTTCCTGGATATAGAGACCTGCATTTAATAGTGCATGCCTGATCTCTTTTAAAAATGAAAAAAGCACAAACACAAAAGCTTGCTTCCATTATTGTCACATTTATTTTTCTAAAAAACTCACATAACCCAAGCTTCTGTGAGCCCCAGATCATCTAACTCTGTGTCTAACATGGTGGAAAGTCAACAGGTCCAACACTGAAAGAGCCAGTCAGACGGTTGTTTCAGCCTCATGTGATGTGAAACAGCATTATGGTTCTCCATCTATCCTTACGGCACTAATTGAATAGGTTTTCTTGAATATTTTTTCCTAAGAACTTGTGGTTTCTAGAATTTTCCTTGTTTTCGAATATTGAATGAAGCCTCGATGGAAATACTCAGCATCATTTGGTTTGAGTAACAAGAGCATTCCTTCTTGCTGCATATCATGTTTTGGAAAGAATGTATCCATATCACTCCATGCAGCTGTGTTTATTTTTGTAGCTAATTATTTTGCAGCTAATTATTTTTGTAGAAAGACTGAGTTTTGACTTGTAAATCATTTTGCTCCAAAAATGGGGAAATAATATAGTGAAGAGTAACTGTGCTTCAGAAGATTTTTCATTTTGAAAACACTATACCTTACATACAGCCTGGTCAGGCAACCTCTCCTGCAGCGTGGATGTTCTGGGATCCCCTCCATGCAGCTGGGTGCTACATCTTTCGGCTTGATAGGCTCTATATAGCTTTCATTGTAACTAATTTGACATTGTCAAAGATGGCATCATGACCAGAGTGAAGCAAATTTGGAGAAACCCTGGCCAAATGAGCAGAGCTAAGATAGCAGGTGAGGATATTCTAAACCCTATGCAGATCTTTGCTATCTTTGTGGTTTCTATTGATGAGGCCACTTTTAACCATACATCCCCACTATGTTACTTCTGAAAGTCATTCTAAGCACTTGGAGGCCTCTGTCAGCCAACTGACAGCTGCACAGAAGCAATTCTTCTTGTGTAGCTATAACATAATCCTAAATTGCTAGTGGACCAGCCACTGTCTTTTACTCATCCTCTCTATAACAGGTGCATGTTTGAGTGAGCCAGAACTCTGATACAGACTAGAGAGAGAACCTACCCATCAAGAAGCAATTGTAAAAAAAGTGCTTAATTGATTCACTGAAAACTATTGAAATATTCAGAAATTCAGAGTAAATATTCAGGATTATTCCCATTAGAATGTTAACATTCTCATGGAAGCGCTTTCTCTTCTGTTATGTTCAGCAAATACGTATTGTGTTCCCGTTAAGGTTTATTTGCTGTTCCAGTCTCTTTTTATGACACCCTCTCTTCTGATCCTTCACCAAGTGTTTACAGAGTGTCTGTCATCTGTAAAGCCTTGAGTTAGGCATGAGAAGGCTGTAACAAGAATGTGCAATGTCTTAGCACAGAGGAAACTTAAACTAAAATTATTATTACATAAGAAAAAAGTGTACAGCAAATTGAATTCACCATATATATATTTCATGCATCTATTTTTATTTAATACTTGTTTGTAAGAAGAATTCTATGGTCAGTTGTTAATGTCTTAGCCTTTTTTTGGAACTTCTCAAGTGTCTTTGTAACACTGTGTAGCCCACATTGTGAAAACAAAAACAACAAACAAAAAACCAAAAAACCCTAAAGGTTTGGAAGCACAGAGATATTTCTGGATTTCAGATTTCTTGGGTTTAATTTACCTAAAGGACATCAACATTTCAGAAGAAAGTTACTTCATTTTTTAAAGAAAATCATTTTAAACTCTAAAGGAATATGTGTATGAATTCCCCCATTCTTAGAAAGTAAACCTAGGATATTATAAGACTGTTCTCATTTACCACCATGTATCCCAACATCTAAAATAGTGTCTGCTACATTGTGGGTAATTAGTACGTGTTTATTAAGTGTTTCCTTTTCACATCTTCATCCCATGCCATGTGAGCTTTTCATAGAGTTCAAACTACCCTCCCCTATTTTTGGGACAGTTCCATTGAGATAGTGGCTCAGTCTCTCCATTAGATTGACTGCCCAGCCCACCTGACTCATTGGTTAATTGTCATTAAGATGATCTATGATCAATCAGAGAGATCATGAGGATGATTAAAATGGTTATTGGTATAGTAATATCTCAACGGTCTGCACTTTTAAGAAAGCAACTGGGATTGGCTCAATGAAGATAGTTGGTCCTCTTCCCTGGGTGAGGCAAGGTGACTCTTCTCACTCTTGATCAGTTAATTGTGTTAACACTAGCAAGGAAAGATGCATCCAGTATGGAGATCACATTTATTTATTTATTTGAACTCCCTTCTGGTTATTTCTCTGTTTCTCACAAAACCTGATTTGGGAGATGTCAAGCTTCCTCTCAATGCCCTTCTGTTTTTTCACTTCTGTTATCCAGGTGATTGGAATAGAGGAGTAGCATGGGTGGAGGGGTAGAAGCTGAGATGTCTGTAGCCCACATACAAAAAGAATTTTGTTTAATGCTGCTATCTTATCTCATTTTGAAACAAACAAAAAATCCCAGTATTTACAAAAACACGTGGCCTCAAGTGGTATTCCAATTTTCAACAGCACATCACGATTGATAATTTTTGGTTGCTATTGATCTGGTTCACACTGAGAGTCAGCGTGAAGAAGCAGATTTCTCTAGGGACAGTCTGTCTTTGGCACTTTCTTGATTATTCACAGAAGGGGAAACAAATTTGCTTCAGCTCTGGTCAAAATTTTAACCATTTTAGGGTTATTATGTCACATTGGCCTCTCTATGTTCAACTTCTTGCCTAGTAAATGTAGTTGATGTCACGCAATAGCTTTGTAATTGAAATCAAAGTAACTGCATGTGCAATAGTCACTGCTAATTGCATGGTCTTTCTAAAAATGTTTTGGGTTTTCTGGGAATTTTATTTGTTATTTGCTTGGTTTGTGAAGATCCCTTGTGTTTCAAGCATGTTGTAGTCTCCTGATGCATGCATTTCACTTCCATTTGGGTAAGAAGAAGGTCAGATGTTTCTTTCAAACATTGCTGCGTTGTCATGTCTTCATATTCTAATGCTTCCATAAATCCAGTCTCTCCATTATGTGGAATATCAATCGTGGGTTTAAGTTTGCACATGACGTTGAGGACAGACACACAGAAGGTAAGCTAGGAAAACTACTTAGAAGTGGAGAGAAGAACTTCTCCTTCTATGCAAAGGTTCAGTTAGTTTTGAGTCAGGAAGCATAATATGAAGAGTCTAGTAATTATATTTGATTATTAAATGTGCACATTGCAATGCTTTGATTTATATTATCACTGATCAACCTTTGAATTCCTCTCCTTTCCCTTTGATTTTAATTTTTAAGGCCATGATAGCTTACATAGTAGAGCCAAACCATCACAATTTCTGACCTTTAAATTGGACATGTATGCAACTCACCTGGCCTCATTGTAACTGAACCTTTCATATGCATGAGTAGAACTAGCTGCCTAGTTCTGGAATTTTTCTCTGTGGTTGTATGGAGTAGCACGTGACCCTCTTTTTTAAGGACTGTGTTATTGTGTGGTGGATTATGGATAGTTAGACATCTGACAGTCTTAAACATATAGATTTCATATTTTGCAAATTATCTGTGTATTCTGCCATATTCCCATGGCAAATCTGTTTTTATTTAATTTACAAGTTATCACTACACATCAAGACAGGCTCAAAATAAATTTGGAAGGGATTCCATTTAAAGTTACTTTTCCAGTCGTGTAGCATCAACTCTGGATCCAGTGCTTCTCCATATAACCTGTGATTTTTTTTTCCTGGTTCATGTCCTGTAAGCTAGATGTTGATGATAATTATTTTCAGGTAACTCTGGCAGCCAACGGAAAGTCAGCTGACTGCAGTGTTGAGGAAGAGCCTTGGAAACATGAAAAATAAGGATATGACTCTCAGCAAATTGTTGAATAAACTCCCCAGCATGTCATATGGTAAAAGGTGACGTAAACAAGCTTTGTTGAAAATGGAAAAAAAAAAATACATCTATTTGTTGACTTAATCTGTTAGCTGAGGCTTAGAGGAGCTGCTGAGTCAGTGATGAAAGGCACGGTGCTGTGTCTTTGCCAAATAACGCTTCATAATCATCTAATTCTCTCACTTGTGTTATTGGTTGGATGGATGCTGCTGCAGGAATTGCTTTCGATTGAAGACACTTTCTAGTTTAGCACAATTGTGGAGACTGTGTTCCTGAAGGACACAGCTAACACAGTGTGGCACATTCCAGGGACTCAGGATGATGAATAACTCACAGTGTGTTTTCTTCAAGTATTCTTTCTGTCTTACCATTTAATGCACAAGCAATTTTGTTGGAAACTTCTAGACGTAACTCCCCTTAAATGTTTTGTAGAGTTTACCCATGGGTCAGTTAAACCCAAGTATCTTTCTTAGAGAACTCTGCCAATTTCTTTTCTATGAACTCTTTAAGCCCAAGGTCTCAAAAAGAGTCTTAGGGAGGTTCCATGCTATTAAAGGTTGTTGAATATGGGACCCTCTGCATTTTGACCTATCTTACCTAGCCTGTGTGAACAATGGTTTAAATGTCAAAGTGTGTCCAAAAATTCACTCTAAATTTGATAATACGTTAAGTAGGATTTTACCTAATATATATACACACACATACACACAGAAATAGTAAGGGAGCATAATCAATCCAGTTTTTAAATAGATTTAAATATTCAAATTTGGTTAAACTTGGTTCACATTCACTTGGGCATAGTGAAGTCAAATGATATTCTCTAACCCATACTTTTCTTTGTTTCACCATAAGATCCTTATTTAGGTGTCTAACCAAAAAATAATAATTTTCTTAATTTCTAAATTATTGCATCCTCCTTCTCATCAACGTGGAAATCCTGAGTGCTTTACCCTCCTCATCCATTCAGCCTGCTTGCTTTGGCTATGCTTCTTAATTCCATCTCTTGGTAAAAAAAGTAGAACTTAATCAGAAAAAGAGTCAGTCTTTCTCCTCAGTCTCCTCTGTGGAAAGGAATAGCAAACAACATGTGTGCAAAATGCTTTATAGATGACATTCTTGGATCAGGGTCCAGGCTGCCTACAACCATGAATTAGGAACAAAAGATGGCTCTACAGGACTTCACAGATGGAATGTTTCTCAAGGCCACGTGGTTTTGAATGGATAAATGAGACAATTGGCATAGCACAGTGTCTTCCGTATGGTAGACAGCCAGGGAACCCTTAGTGATTGGTTATGCAAATGTGGTTTTTTAAAGTCTTGGCTAATATTTTCCTTTTGAATGCACTAGAGTATTTGCTAAGGATACCAGGTTTAAGTGTTGGATTGTCACTTGAAACATTGAGAAATAAAGCACAGCTGACTCTAAGCACTATGTGGAATCTTGGTCCACATATTGGACCAGGGTATGTCATCTGAGGCTAGTAGAAGGATGTTGGGATATTCATAAACACCTATAGAATCCATGTTCTTTCTAAAGATAGTTGTTGACAGACATCACTATTGTTTGTCAGCCTCTCCTTGTGTCTCCCCTCTCCCAAATCAGGTGCTTTTGAAATACACAAGATATGAGATAACATTTTCTTTTGTCTGTTAAGCCCATCTGCTTTTTGATATAGATCTCTACTGAACAGTATTAAGCAGCTTTTTTTAAAAAAAATTGTACTGGTCTTTGTTTTGTTAAGATAGGTCATAAACGGGGCGGCCAAGAACAGAGTAGTGGAAAACACATCCCTCTAGCAGTTGTGAGCCAAGAAGACAATTCTTGGTCTTTGCCATGAAACTGTCTAGCATTATGTTTAAGTAATGCTGAGAGCTTTTCCATGGTGAGTAAAAGAATCTAGTCATGACAGCTCAGAGCTGGTCCCCTTTTGCTATGGAAGGCCAATTTGGTGCCTGTGTACACTGACATATTTCTCAAAGTAATGGTCACAAAATTGTCTTCTAAGACCTGCCAAACTTTTCTGCTTTTGTTTTGTTTTCAGCTTTTACCTAGCTATCCTGTTAGCCTTTGAATATGTGTAACAAAAAAAAAAAAGGCATTATGTTCACAAAGAACAAGATATGTAGTTCAGCAAGACAGGTTTTTTTGGTTTCAGACTGTATGCAATAAGTCTTCTGAGAGCATACTTAGGAAATCAATAAATAATATTAAAAGTGAAAAATTTCTTAAATTCAGAGCCAATCCGAAAATCCAAGATGTATGTGGAGAGGACGTATGATTATGTCCTGTGGTTTGTTTAGGCCTCGTTCACTCTTCCTATGCCATGCACATTAAGAGTTCCTTGCTGTATATGTGCCATACATAGAAAACAAAATGGATCTAGATCATAGCTCTAATAGTCTTTATTAAAACAATATCCACAGAGGCCATCATTTCCACATAGAGATGTATCCTAATAGACCCAACATTGCTATGAATGCTTCAAATAGTCCATGAATATTTGATGATACATGAATCTTCTGTTTACGTACAAAAAGGTCATGGCAGGTGCATACACTGCCTCAGACAGAATCTGTACGTCCTATTTTTGACAACACCATTTTGTGAGAGGCCCATTCTCTTTTTCTAAGAATCAGAATCATTTCAGGAGAAAACTAAGTAGGTTTTAGTCTTTTCCTGTTGTTATTTTCCCTTGGTAAACTCAAGTGCTCTCATTATTTAACTACTTACTAAAATTCAATAAATCCAATTCTGCCCTTGAGAAGAATGGCTGGCCTCTCAAGCTTCTGTTTTACCTTGGATCATTGAGGCTACAGCTCCCATACTAAGAGGGCCAGAGAACTAAGGCAACCATTGAGATCCCAACTAAGTAGCCAACAGATTCAATTTTTTACTTCCTATAGAATAGAAACACAGCTCATACACACACTGCCTACAGAAGTTACCATGCCCTATAATAGATAGTGATTATCCTCTCAAACCACTATTCAGTCTTGAAATTTCGAAATGCTTACAGAAAGGCTGCCAAGTGCATAGCTCCTGAATTTAGATTTGTGGAATCTGAGAAAAGTTAGTGAAAACTCAGTTCATGGGGAGATTCCTGGTAGATTATGCCAGGAGTCTCAGTGATCAGCTGATAAAAGGATCTCACTATCTCAACTCATGCAAGGAAAAACACATCATTTGTAAATGTGTGTGGTCAAAAGACTTTCAGAGTGCAGTAGTTGGAAAACTGCTGTGTACCCAAAAGTAAACAACTGTTCTGTGTCTTTGAAAGCACGTTTCCCTTTGCTCTCAACAGAAAAAGTTATTTTATAATTTTTTTTTTTTTACTTTGATCAGAATCAAGGTCTCTGCCCAAGCAATATTTTCCCATAAGTAGAGCAATAAATCCAAGTAGCTGCACGCATGCTCAGAGATCATTCTCCCTAGTGCCATAGGAAAACAAGTCTCGGCAGTTCTTACAAGTTGTAAAACATACACAGAAGGTACACCCAGTAGGGTAACTTCCCACTTGGCTGCTCTTTCATTCTCAGGGCCATCTAGTTGTCTTAGTTGCTGGCTTTACTTAATCTCCAACTGAACTCATTCCAACCCAAGAAGGAAGGACCTGACAGGGTTTTCAGTTATTATCATACTTGCTCTTGGAATAAGGTTACAAGGGCTTAGAAGGCATAGGAAGATTAAATTAAAGCAAAGGGCCTGAAACAAGTTTGAAGTGTGAGTTTTGTAAAGTCTTGTTGTCAGAGATTAAGGGTCTCAGCATTCTTAGTCAATTCTGGCTGCACCCAGAAGGGTCATTGAACGCCAATGCAGGCAGGTGACACTAGAGACAAGCTGTTCCCTTGGGTGGATGAGTTCAGAGCTACTCATGAAATACTCTAACAATTTTCCTAAAAGAAAATTCAGCTTTCATTTCTTCTCTTCTCCTTTTTTCTACTTATTGGGCCAGCTTAAGAGACAGTTTAATAAGACACAGTACAAGTTTGCACAAGGGTTGGTTTTAGAATAGTTAATATGGAATGTTCACTAAATAGGATCCAATCTCTTAACATGGCACAACTAATTCAGGCAGTGACACATTAATGATGAGAAACAATGGTTTCATAGAGAAACCTTTAGTTTTAGACTTTCCCTATTTTCAGCTGTCTGACTTAAACAAGTCAGTTTATATCCCAGCCTCATTTTCTCCTGTAAGAGAAGTGAAAAAGTTAGAATAAATGAGTAAAATCCCCTTCCAGCTCTACAAACCCATGGTATTGTGATTTCTGCTTTGCTTTCTTCCATTTTAAGAAGCTTGCTACTATAAAATATGACTTATTTGTGTTTTAATCCAGCCAGGTCCACCATAACACATAATCAATTTTTATTTTTTTGTGGAGGTGGGGTAAAATTAAACTCAAGCCTCTTATTCATTTGATGTTTCACAACAAACTTGAAAGGTGGTCATGTAGTTCACTCTTGGTATTGTAGAACACCAACAAACATCCTTTCATAGAAGTTCCCTTCACCTAAACTCACTGTCCTCCTGTAAGTGGGGAGTCAGCTCAGGGAAACATGCTGCCAGAATCACCGAGGGGACTGGATGATTCTACAGCCTCGTGCAAGCTCTTGCATCATTCCTGCTGTAGCAACAGAGCCCACTCCAAATACCCAAACCACATCATTTTCTCCAAACTATCCTAATTGCCAACCCAGTATGGGAATTTGGGAGTGTTTGGCAAATACACTTGAAAACCCTTATGAAATTCGGTGCAAGACTTGCACAATCACAGCAACTACTTGTAAATACCTTCCCTCCTTTGCTTGTACGCAGACACACAGCCGTTTCCAGGTCAGCTGGGCTAAGTTCTTTCTCTGGAGGGATATACAGGGATAATTGATTAAATTTAATTTCAAATTTTCCTCTTGATTTCCTTTTATCATAGGCATTGCATCACAGGTAGGGGAACGCTAAGGTACAATGGAGTTTTGCTGACTTCCATTGCCTTTGTCAGTGCCTGTCACGTCTCTGGAGTAGATGGGGTATAGGTGCTTGGTCCACAAGATGCATGTCACCATCCACGACCTTCAAAGAAACCCCTGTAGTTTCTGGCACAGCTACAATGTGCCATTGCTTGTATCTTAGCTCTGTTGAATCCTCTACTAAATACAGAGTAGAGTATGGCATATCTTACATTGTAAGCACTTTTATTGTTACAGAACACTTCTACTCTTCAGATTTTGGAGAACAAGTTGTAAAACTAGGGCTAAAAGGAATGGGTTGCTTTTTGTTTGTTTTTCCTGTTAGTACAGAAGACCTGATGCACAAGCAGCCAGATAAACATAACTTCTTCACTGATCCATGTAAAAACCTAGGAGAATGTGAAAGTAGCCCCTAGGATCCTATTTCATTTCATTCCCTCTACTTAATATAACGAATACTTTCTAAATAGATATTCCCACCTGCCCCCAGCCCCATCCCACCGCTTCAAGCTTTGCTTTACTCTCTAACCTCTGGGCCAAATCTTCATTTTGATATTGTAGAAAATTATTCTACTTTTGTGTGTGGCTTCATGGGACTGAGAATAAAACCTATGTCTGGGACAGACCTGGCTGCTTTGCAGGGTCAGCACTTGACCTAGAAAGGCAGGTAGCAGCAGGTCTGTGGTTCCTCTGAAGACACTCCCAGCCCCTGAGTGAGGATTGGAGCCCAACAAGCAACCCTAACCTGTGTCATCATCCGTGGAGATGAAGACAATGAAGCTGTGCCCTGCTGCTGCTGGGGCTCTCCACTTTTTCTCATGACAGCTAGGTATGCTGCCTAGAAACAGCCTGTTGTCTTTGGTGGGGGACAGATACAGGCACTTGCCATGCAGTTGTTCCAGCAGTTGGTCCAGATTTCTCCCCAGGAAAAAAATTCTCTGAGACACTGGATCAGAAAACTGGCTCCGTGAGAGCAAGATACTCCAGGAGTTATGTTCTTTCTGGGAGATCATTGATGGTGTTCGGATTTTTCTATGAATCACTGTTAACTCCTTCCTTTCCTCCTTTCCCTGGAAAACCTCAGCTTTGCATTTCAATGTTGCACGATATGGATCAGATTATTGGGTCACTATAGAGATTTGTATATTTTAAAAAAGCCTACCTTTTGGGTGATTTTTGTATCTTGTTTTCTATTTGTTTTCTACAGACTGGGGAGAGAGCTGGCAAACTGTGAATCTAAATTTGACCTTGCTGCCAGCAGATATAGTTTTGACTTTCTGGTAGGATACTATGGACAGTATCTTGCCCTCTGATCAGTATTCCATCTCAAATCCACAAATTACTCCAATCCAATATGACATTATTAAAAAAAAAAAACTTAAGATTTTTTGCTATTATTTATGAAAAGCATGATAAAATGTATGTATAGTCCTGGGTGTTATATGTTTCATATTAATTTAGTCTTTGTACTGTTATAGGTTTTTATCTGTATTTCAGAAATCATCAAAACCTCAGTGTACACTGAATTCATCTATTTAATATCAGTAATTTTGCAGACAGATATTTTCTTATGGTATTTTCTATATAGCCACATGTATAGAATTGTAACTAATTAGAGCACAAAGAATTTCTACAACAATTTAAAGCTAGCATGGATTTCCTCAGCATATTACTACATTTGAAAAACCCATCCCTAAGTAAATCAATCAACAAAACAACCACGAAGAATAAGAAATTGCTTGAATTGCTTCCAAGGTTAGGATACACCCTAAGCAACTGATCTTCTGAACTCAAGGAATGGTGCTGATTTTTAAATTTTTGACACCAGGCCTTGTTTTCCCAGCTGAGCATTCTAATTTTGATTTTCTCTAAGATGATCAAAGATGAAATGATAAAGATGGAATCATTCACGTGTGAGAATCTGCCCTATGTTCCGAAATGTTTATGTGAATATGGCTTAGGAAAACTTTGAGTCACAAACACTGAAGCTGGGTGCAAGGAAGAAATCAGAACCGATTTGTGGCAGTTAATTCTTGCCAAGCAAAACAGTAGTAAATATCACATTGTTATGTAAATTGAGTGCATATTTTTAAAGTGTTTTAAGTGCCAGCTGTGAAGCAGTGCTGTGTCAGTGGGGGCTGGATAGTGGAGTTTAATGTCACCTGGAACCTTCCCGAATGGTGAATCAGGAGCCACTGCGGAGACAAGATGTCTTTTCTGCGCCAAACACACCTTCTTATGGTGGTAGGGCTAATTTTTTATTGACCTAAAATGTAGTTGGTTACCTAGCAAATGCACTAGTGTTTCTTTGAATTTGCTTCTTATTGAGCAAACATAATAGGTGTGCCCTCAACAGGCAAAGAGTGTATCTATTTTCAAGTACAGCCAGCTGTCGAAGCATGAAGCTCTTGTGTATACACACTGCCACTTGGTTCACGCATGAAGAACAGTGCCTATGCACTTTGTGTAGCTATAATGTAGGTATTTGTAATTTCAGTGAAATGGTGTATAGATGCATTTAATTTAATGTAAATGTTATTTTGGCTATTCATATAAATGCAGTAGCTATGTTGACTGGTGTTTTAAAAACCCTTCTTTTCCTGAGTAGACACCTAGCAGTGAATCATTTCTTCTCTCTTTTGATGTGATGTGGGAATAAATATGCGTGAAAAACTTACCTATGAATCTTTGTAAAAATGATAGTCTGAAAGTCTGTGTGTATCCAGCACCTTGTAAATACACAGTTCAGAGCAGGAATGGGCTGGATGTGCATCCTGGTTCTTAGTGAAAGGTCAGCAGACATTTATCTAATACACAGTGAATGCAACTATGGAGCTTTTGATTATCTAGGCTTAGGTAGGTTTAGATGAGCACATTGACTTACAGTCCTCAATAGCTTGGTGGATTGGGCTCAGACAGGTGAGCCAACCTGCTCCTATGCATGTCAGCATCATGTCCTTACAAGGAAGGGCCAGACTGTCTGGTTGCCAAATACACCTCATGATGCACATGAATGAAGGGCTCTAAAATGACTTGTCCCCTTGGCTTCTTGAGTCAGAGCTTGGGGGGTGGGGAGAACAGCTGCTGCCTAACTGCTAGGCAAGGAACCCTCCCCAGAGCACAGTGTTGGCATTAGCCATACACTTGTCTGTAGAAAGGGAGACCTTTGGAAGCACAGGAAGAGTCAGGGGGCAAGTTTCGGAGCACAGATCCCACATATGTGAAGGGAGTGTGACCTCCTTTACCTAGTATTGCTTTGTATGTTTGGCCTGGTTGAAGATGAGATTGACTGATGCAATTGTACACTCACCACCAAAATCATTAGATGTAACACTATAAGTCTATTGCTCCTGTGACTGCTTTCTCCACTCAATGACAGAGACAAAACGTCCATGTGCTAGAAGCAACACTAAGGGTCCCTCTCTTTGTTCAAGAGGAATGGAGCCTCTGATATCACAGCAAAAATATGCAAAGCACACTGATTTGAAATGGCTTCTTCAAATGAACAGAATGAGGGGATATGACCAACAGACACATTTTCTCTTGAAAATGTAGTTTCTTCAACTCCTGCCATGTCCAGAGTGGAAAACTTACTGAAAGAAGGCAGGATTATTGAATGTCAAGAATGGAAGGCAAAAATAATTGTTTCCTTCACATTCACAATCCTTTTGGTCAGAAGTCATGTAGCGTAGAGCACCTATAACAGACACTGTTGAAACACTAATGAATGCACAAAAAAGGATAAAACTGTCAACTAATGATGAGGTTCTTATGTGTGGTACTAGGAAATGCCCGTTGGCAAAGCACATTTTGAGTAGGTGAGATCTTTTGTGTTTGCCTTTAGTTTTCTAAGCATTCTTACAAAGTGGACCAATTTCTGTAACATTTCATGTGTACAATAACTGAATAGTCTTTATATGCTGGAAATAACCTGTGAATCCAACATTTCACTAAGTGTTTTAACTGTTATGTACATATATATCATCAATAAACGTGGGTTTCAGTTTCTTGGCTCTGGTCTCTTCTTCAATGTCAAGTTTTAAACTATTCTTGATTACATGGTAATGGTCTCCAGTGTTCCTTTTGGGTGAAATTGCAGATTAAAGACTAAATTATCCAAATGGATATTGACTGGAAAGGCTATACATAGTAGCATCACACCTTATACTCTAAAGAGAATAAATTGGTCAGAAATAATATATCATCAAGGAATCACATAATAGGCGCTGACCCCCAACTCTGAGAGGCATCAAACAATTATTTCTTATTTATGTGACAGAGCCGTCACCACATCCTGTGCTCCATACTTTCATTCCTGGGGGAAGATGAGGAACACTGCATCTCCGAGTGTCTACAGGTGCCAATGCAGGAAAAAGGGAAACAGCATGTGATGTGCTTCATCTCTATTCATATGTCACATAAAAAAATAGGGAAGAGCAACATCATCAAGTGAACAGGAAGAAAACTGAAACTAATTGGTGAAGAGCTCAGATGATGAGTGCATGTGAAAATCCCTTTCATCATTCATACAGAACAGTCCACAAACATGAAAGTCCCACGATTAGTTCAACATAGCACATTTTTTCCTCTAGTGTTGGAAAATTATTACTGAGAAGTAACTGGTGGGCCCAGCTTAATAGCTTAATGGTTAAATCCTCACCTTCATATGCCAAAATCCCATATGGGCACTGGTTCATGTCCCAGTTGCTTCATTTCCCATTCAGCTACCTGCTTGCAACATGGGAGGTCAGTGAAGGATGGCACAAGATCTCGGGACCCTGCACCCATGGGGGAGACCCAGAGGAAGTTCCTGGCTCCTGGCTTTGGATGGGCTCAGCTGTGGCCATTGCGGCTGCTTGTGGGGTAAACCAGCAGATGGAAGGTCTTTCTCTCTGTGTCTCCTCTCTGTAGGATTGCCTTCAATACAATAGAAAAAAAAAAAAAGAAGTGTGGCATTCATTACAGGATTGTGTCGTGAAAATTAAAGATGTGATATCTGTCTCAAGTAAGAGGTGCTTACTGTATCCATAGAGAGAGTCCATTAATTTTTTGTTGTTGTTGTTGTTTATTCCTACAAAAAAAGAAGAAAGAATAGAATAGAATATTGAGGGTAAGTGTAGTTGGCATTTTTGACACAGGAATTGTGATCCACTCTCAATTACTAAAGTTATGCAGGTGCAGCCAAATCACTTTGTAATTTTGAAGTCATACTAGCATGTATAAAATTAGGAGTTTCAGAGCTGGTGTTGCAGCACATCACATTAAGCCATCATTTGTGGTGCCTGCGCCCCATTTCAGAGCACCTATTCAAGTCATGCTTGCTATATTTCTGATCCAGCTTTCTGCTAATGTGATTGGAAAAGCAGAAGAAGTTGACCCAAGTACTTGGGGCCCTTTCACTGAAGTGTAAGATCTAAATGGAGTTCCAAGCTCCCAACTTTGGCCTGGACAAGGCCCAATCCTTGTCACCATTTGGGAAATCAAACAACAAATGGGACATATGTCATTCTCTCTGTCAAATAAATAAATAAAATTATGAATTTGTATTATATCACAACTCAGCTTTGAACTCTGAAATTTGACGTTACTCATCACAGCTACAGATACATTTTTATTTCTTACTTCTAGCATCTGAATATAGTATCTCATATCAGTAACCTGTACCTGAGTCATAATACTGTTTGACCCTTGAACTCTTGAATCCATACCCAGCAGAAGAATTAGAATTTTGCCAATCATTTCCTCATCTCTGTGTTCATTAGTTACGCAGTGATCATCCCCACTGCTTTCTAAATAGTAATTTCATCCTAGGCCCAGCGTGGTAGCTCAGCAGCTAATTTCTCACCTTGTACATGTCATATCCCATATTGGCACCAGTTTGTGTCCTGGCTGCTCCATTTCCCATCCAGCTCCCTGCTTGTGACCTGGGAAAGCAGAAGAGGATGACTTGAAGCCTTGGGACCCCACAACTACATGGGAGACCTGGAAGAAGCTCCTGGCCTTTGGCTGGCACAGCTCTGGCCCTTGCAACCACCTGGTTTTCTGACCAGCGAATAGAAGATCTTCCTTTCTGTATCTATTTTCTTTGGTAAAATCTGTCTTTGCAATACAAATAACATCATTTTTGTTTGAGAAAAGCAACTTCATCCTACACAACAAGCATGCTAAACCAGCTTTGCTAATTTTTGATTTTATATCAATGGGTCCACAACACAACAAAGTCTTTTGAACATCAATATTTAATTTCTCTATATTTTCTAAGCAGCATGCATATCCTCTGCTGTATAATAAGATAATATGACAAGAGGGTATGCCTCCTTATATTCATTCATTTTCCTCATGGCAGATATTTGCCTCATCTTCCATTGTTTTTCTGTGTTAAATAAAGCTGCTGTGAAGATTCTTGCCTGTGTCTCACATGTTCACAAAGCAGGAGGCTTTGATGCATGTCCTCTTTAAATATGTACGTGTGTGACTGAAAGGTTCCTATTCAATCCTCTACTCATTTGTCCATGATTGCCTCTAAGCGCTCACATGTGCTAGTCCCCAACCCCCGCCACCCAGCTCCTCTTGTAATCCACTCACTTCTGGCTGTGTTATGCAATTCATCTCTCCAGCACAGACGCTGAGCAAGCAAAGGCAAACTGTTTTTAGGAGAGGAGTCCAGGGTTAAAAGATGAGGCTTTCTTCCCACAGGTAAGATCTTTGAGCTGGATCTGATGATGACTACAAAGAGCCCACTTACTCTTTGATAGCTTCTTTGAGCAAGAGCATGTGACAAACCCAGCAGGCTCTTCCCATGTCAGCAAACTGCTTACTATAAAGTGAACTACCCGTTGGCAGAGGAAGGTATTAGAAGTCATAGCAAATTCCTCTCCTGCCTCCCTCCCCAGAACTAACAGTAACCCCTCAGGTACACTCCTGTGTTAACCAATTCTAGCTGTTCCAACAACGTACCATTGACTGAATGTTTCATAAACTATAAGAATTTATTTCTAACAGTTCTGGAGCTGGGAAGTTTGAGATGGAGGTGTAGCATGATGGAGCTCTCACGAGGGCTCTGTTCTGGGCTGAGGATTCTTTTGTCGTTGTGTTCTCACACAGTAAGAGCCAGAGAGATTCTAGAGGTCCTTTGCACAGAGCATTCATCTCATTCACAAGTTCTCTGCTGTCATTGCCCACCACCTTCCAAAGACCTCACTTCCTTACATCATCCCCTTGGGGGTTAAGATTTCAACTTCAATTTGGCAAGACACAAACGTGGTATCCATTGTAATTCCACAGCCCCACAATGGAATAATGGTAGAATCATGAAGGGGGCAGTGTCTCAGAAAAAGACATTCAACCTGTGAGTGTCTCTTTCCAGGCTGAGCAACACAAGCAGGAAGCCAAGGCCCTGTGCATCAAAGATCTGCAGGTGATGGTAGTCCAGACACTTCCAGGGAGCTTGCAGGAGCTGCTCTCCCCTAATCGTAGCCTCTCAGCCAAGACAGGAAGGTGGGGGTGGAGATACCCACACATTTAATGTGGGCAGGGCAAGAATAGAAGACTGGCAAAAATATTCATGTTTTTAACTTAGGGCTTTTTCTTCCTGATAGATTATTTTTAGGTATAGTTAATGCATCCTCCCACTGAGGCAGTGAAAGGACATATTTATTTCCCATTTCATTGTAAGAAAAACTAAACCAGAGTCAGGTTGATTCTGGAGTGTTGATTAACCTGGTTTTGCTTGTCCAGAAAGAGTATAAAAAGTACAAATCTATTAACTGACTTTTTTGTATTCTCAAAATTTAAAAGCACTTTATCCACACAGTAGATAAAGTGACTATCATTTTATTGTTCTTTCCTAACTCCTCACTGAGTTGAAAGGAATATGAGTAACCTAAAAAAAAAATTTTTTTTTTTTTAGTCTGGGGTAATCAGGCTTCAGGTTTCCAAGTATCGTCTGGAAAAGATTACTGATTTCCAGTTTTTTAGGTTTTTTTTTCTTTCTTTTTTAAAGCAAAGATGCAACTTGCGTCATCTAAGCTACCTTTTTGCTGCATACCCAGGCAGTTTTGGAATTCTCCAATGGCTGCTGTCACTTCTCAGATGGTTTCCAGGCCTGGAGAGCCCACAGCTTAAGGAGGGAGGAGCCATGGAATTTTCCAGTTGCCTTCAACTGAGTGAAAAGTGCAGTTGAAACATAGTCTTCCTTTTCCATTGGATCCCAATCTTCCCTCATATCTTGGCAGACAGGACAGAGATTGTTGAAGACTGGGCTACAAGGACCACAGAAAGAGAAACTGAATCTATGCCTTTTTGGAGATGAGAAAGTTGAAACCATGATTTAAGTGAGTGAGAGGTAATTTAGGGGCAAACCAAGGTTAAATCCTGGTTCTGTCCCTTCCCTAGCCAAGGGCCATTGGATTTTAACTTTGCCTCAGGTTTTTGCATCTCTGGAATGGAGCTAATCATGTCTATAATAGAGTATGTAATCGGAGAATATACATAAAGTATTCAGCACAGTATTTGGCCCACCTTAGAGGGTCAGTCAGTGATGGCATATCTATCTCCCTGTCTGTCATCATCATCACTATTGTCATCATTAATGTCAATTGCAACTTCTCAGTAAAATGGCTGAAAGAAGCCATAACCCTCTCTCTCAGTTTGGCCTTTTTCCCAATTGTGTTCAAAGAAACCACCAAGTCACTTACAGCCCAGGCTACCTTCCCCAGAAGCTGAATTTTGTTGATCGGCAGTGGCTTCTCTTGACCCAGCTTGAGATAATTTCTTTTTTACTCTGGGGAAACTTCCTGGACCTTGTGAAGTCATGCTATTTGGCATTCCAAATGCCTTCTATTGCTTGCCAAGGTCCAGATATGAGGCACGAAGCAAAGGCGCTGGGTTTCCTCAGGGAAGGATAGTGTCAGCCTGGCCAGCACAGCCCTCCCTGGAATGAGAACCTGAGTTAGCCCTACCAATGGGAAACAGGACATCCGGAAATGAAGCAATTCTCTTTTGCCACTAGAGAAGTCCCTTAAGGGAGTCTCCAGCTCACAGTTTCATGTGCTCCAGTAGTTAAATGTCATGAGAAAGGCCATTCTACGGAATGTGTGTAGCCTAGCAGGGCCCTCTGGAACTTTTGGCTATGTCCATTCCCAGCAATTTCCCTTCTCAAAATCCCCCCTCTCCATTGCCCTATCTTCAATCACAGTATTCACATCCCCCCTACGGTTCCAGGAGCAGAACCTCGGAGAAATGTTTGGGAGCTCTTAGGTTGGGAGAGCTCATCCTTTGCTGCATTAGAATCATTTCGGAATGGTGGCCCTCTACAGTTTTCAGCAGCTCAGGGCATCACCACAACCTTAACAGCTTGCTATTTATTATTAATAGTAAAATGTTAATGATTACATCATTTTAGTAACAATTCAGTTCTTAATTGTTTAAATGGAAATCTCTGGAATCAGAACCTGTGTCAGGATTCAGGTTCATAGGACGTTTTTTGAAGGAATGTTTTTCAGTAAGGCCTGAAAGAACACAACGAAAGCATGCTGAAAGAGTTGAACAAAAAAGTCACATCTAGAAACGTCTAAATTGAGTTTCTTCCCTGAGAACAGAAGCTTCTTGAACATCCATGTCAGTCATGGGCTACTCTGGGAAGTGGGGACAGGACCTCCAGATTGAGGCAGGTCCCATCAGCACAGAGCCACGCCCTGGAAAAGAGGGAGCTGTGAGTTGTTTTTTGCTGCCAATACAACAGTCAGAAAATGAGAGCGCTAACCAGGGTAGGGAGCTGGGGCGGAGCAACAACAACATCTACTCCAACTTCCATTTATTCACATGCACATGGTAGACTTTTTGCATGTGACATCATTTTGTTGTCACAACAACTCTGCAATGTGTTGGTATTCTCCCAATTTTACAGATAAGGAAATTGAAATTCAAAAAGGGGAAACTTACATACCTAAAAAGAAGCTGGCCTGGAGAATTCTCTAGTTTTATTGTTTCCCACTCCACTAGCTATGTTTTCCTAAACAACACAGAAGACATATTATCATGTCATCAATTTCTCGTAGTATGTCAATTTCTGCGCTGAGTGCAATATCCTTTGATGTTGAATCTTGAAGTTCAATTATGCATGAGATGAGACCTGAGCCCTCACAGAGAATTGAACTTGCTGACTGATCCATAGGGTCCTGTATCACCTGGATAGCTGACTCCTGGAATAATGAAAGAGGAAGTTTCAAAGCAGCCTCTGGATGCACCTAAAACAGCTGCTTGAGTTAGAACAAATTGTCCATACTCTTTCCCCAAGCATTTGCTAAACCAACAGTCCAATGAGCAGTCATGTTTAGTGTCAGTCTTCATCAACTGAAAGTGAGGAAGATTCTCAGCTACTGCCTAGACTCACTGGGAAAGAATGCAAATTGATTATTAATGGCTGCAAAGGATGAAAGAAGAGAAAGCGATGAATGCTTTCCTTATATCCATAAAAACATTAGTCACATAGGCTGAGAAGCAATGCTCAAACGTCAGCTTCAACAAGCCACGTACATTATCGACTGACACCATGATTCTACTGCAGGTTGCTGGGACTCATTGTAGGCTCACTGCATGTTGCTCATTGTAGGATCTCAGGGACCCTGTATAATAAAACAAATGCTATGCTGAAGAGTCTTTTGTTTTTAGGGCAAAGGGGAAAAAAACTCACTTCTTGAGCACTGAGATGTCATAAATCATGGGCCAAAACAAGCCACCCTGCTTCAAGAGAGAATGCTGCACAACCCCACTGCTTTCAGAATGGGGATTGGTGGAGAATAAGACATGGATGGAAGAATTCAGAAAGATTTGGTGAACAGCATGGTCGTATTAGAATAGTCTATCCTGGGCTCTGCGCATTAGCCTAGTGGCTAAAGTCCTCGCCTTACATGCGTCAGGATCCCATATGGGCACTGGTTCTAATCCCGGCAGCCCTGTTTCTCATCCAGCTCCCTGCTTGTGGCCTGGGAAAGCAGCCAAGAATGGCCCAAAGCCTTGGGACCCTTGTACCTGCATGGGAGACACGGAAGAGGCTCCTGTCTCCTGTCTTTGGATTGGCTCAGCTCCAGACATTGTAGCCACTTACGGAATGAATCAGTGGATGGAAGATCTTCCTCTCTGTCTCTCTTCCTCTGTGTATATCTGATTTTCTAATAAAAATAAATAAATCTTCAAAAAATTTAAAAATAGTCTATCATCTAGTCACCTGGTATTTAGTGTATTCTGCCACATACAAAATGTGCATATCTCTTGCCCAAGAAAGGCCACAGAAATGTTTCTTTCACTCAGCTGATAAGTTCAAAGTCCAGGATCTCAACATGAGGTGTGGAAATGCTTACATCTGGTCCAAACACAAAACTACAAACCAGAGTGGGCATTTGGGGCATCGGTTAAGATGCCCCTAGGGACCTTCCCATCCAATATCAGAGTGCTTCAAGTCTTGACTGTGTTTCCAAATACAGCTTTTTACTAATGTGCAATCTGAAAGGTAGAAGTTGATGGCTCCAGTAGGGGTCTGTGCAGCTCAGATGAGAGAGCTAGACTGAGTTCCAGGCTCCAAATCATGTCTGTGAAACATACTAAGTGTTAATCTCTAGAAATGGAAACTCAGCCACCAAAGAACATTTCCAAAGATAAGATGAAGAAAACGGTCAGATAGAGTTCATCTCTGCTGATAAAATGTAATATATATATATATATATTTTTTTAATTGGAGCCAGAGAGTTTCAGATTCATGAAAAAAATAGTTACACTAATATAAAATTTTTAAAAAGCTATTGCATTAAGCAGTTTTCACAATATCAGAAAAGACTCCACCTTAATGAACCGGACTAACAGTTTTCCAAAGGCCCCATCTCTAAATTTCAGTGAGTTTGTGCTTCT